GTAGTAAATATGGGCCTAGACATGAGAGAATGGGTCTATGTGGTAAGTGTGCACTGTAAAAAATAAAATTCTGCATCACCCAGTGTATGAGGGAAGAAACTGCGACCATGTTTTTGGCTTAAAACAGCAAATCTGCGGTGTATTTTTGTATGTTTTTTTATGGTTGTATACTCAGTTTCTTGGTTTCAGTTGATAAAATGGAAGGTATATTACAGAAATAGATATGATTCTGATTGGTTTGAAAACTGAAAATAGCTTGAAATTGAGCTCAAAGTAGCAGAAATGTTCGATTTTTGCTGATACTCCAGAGTAAACAAATCGTGTAACTCATCCAATACGCATCCACTGGTCGGTCTAATATGCATTCACAAATGCGCTGACATTATTTATACAATTATTACAGTAATGCATAATAGTAAATCTTCCATATTTGCGAGTGAATAAAAATTCTGTGTGTGAATAAAAACTCAAAATGGAAGTCACGTGTAATGCCTTAGAACATAACTAATGAACAGAGGAAATGTTATTTTAGTGCCAGGAATTCCTGCACTGTTTATTCTAGACCCTTTTTTGAAACTGGAATATTTTGAATATTGTGTGAAATTGGCCAAATTACAAATTTCTGATCACTTTATTGGGTAGTTGAAATAGTTGACTGGGCAGATTCTTGTGCCCAATTGGTAAAATGGAAGGCACACTAGTGAAATAGCTAAGAATATGGTCAACTGGAACAACATAACTGGCCTAAAATAGGAATCAAAGTAGGCAAAATCACCGATGAATAAATATTGCCAACACAGCAAAATTCGTGAGTGTAATTTTGTCAGTTTCTTTCAAATTTCATAATTTTTGTTTTATTGCCTTCAAAAAAGATTTTCGACCATTTCATAAGAAAAATCTATTGTTTTTTTTAATTTCTGGACCCTGTGAACAAATTTCAGATCAAGAGTCTGGACCCTGAAAGAGTTAAAACATTATGGAATAACAAGACTTACTCTTTCCTTCAAGATATCTAACCCGAATAACAGACACCAGCAATAATATCTGCTTTTAACAACCTGATGGATCAACATAGGTGTTCTTCAAGGTAGTGTCCTGGAACACTGATGCATCAACATAGCTGTTCAGCTGTTCTTCAAGGTAGTGTCCTGGACCATTAATGGATCAACATAGCTGTTCTTCAAGGTAGTGTCATGGACCATTAATGGATCAACATAGCTGTTCTTCAAGGTAGTGTCATGGACCATTAATGAACATAGCTGTTCTTCAAGGTGCTACTAGAGAACCTGAACCAATTCTGACTGCTGATGGTACAATTTTTATCACTGCAAATCCTGACGCAGCTGCACTCAAGACAGTCAATGCAGAATTTGCTAAACTATCAACTTGAGTTACAAGAAACTCACAATTAATACCAACAAGACCTTCTCTATATATAATGTTTGATAACAAAGTAAAAACTGTTCATATGAACATAATACAACAATTGATAAACAGAACAAGAGTAAATTTATGGGAAAACATCCGGAAAACAAACTAAACTTCAACACAAACATCCAGAACATTCCCCCCCAACAAGAAAAAAATAAAGCCCAGTGGTCATTCTCTTAAAAATATGCTATTATATTGGCCAAACATCCGTGGTAACTGAGTGCTGCTTTCTAATGTGCTCATTTTTTTTCTAATGTACCCATACCTGACCTAGTGTGTGTGTGTGCCACCTGGGCATCAACAACAGCTAATCACCATAACACTTCAGTGTTCCCTCATCAAAATATTGAAGGGGTTGAAATGTGCTTTTAGTGTCTTGGAAAACTGTTTATTCTAAGAACTTTTTATTCTTGTGACTTTTGCTCTACCTTCGATATTTTTTTATGAATTTCTGAAAATGAGTCCAATCATTATTTGTACTTATGAATGAATGTGAAAAATTGTGAGACACTCTCTCTCACATTGAGTACTACAATGTTTCACATCTTAATTCATCACTTAGCTTGTGAGACACACTCCCAGGTCAAGTACTATGATGATTCACATCTTAATTCATCACTCAGCTTGTGAGACACACTCCCAGGTCAAGTACTATGGTGATTCACATCTTAATTCATCACTCAGCTTGTGAGACACACTCCCAGGTCAAGTACTATGATGATTCACATCTTAATTCATCACTCAGCTTGTGAGACACACTCCCAGGTCAAGTACTATGATGATTCACATCTTAATTCATAAACTCAGCTTGTGAGACACACTCCCAGGTCAAGTACTATGATGATTCACATCTTAATTCATCACTCAGCTTGTGAGACACACTCCCAGGTCAAGTACTAGATGATTCACAATCTTAATTCATCACTCAGCTTGTGAGACACACTCCCAGGTCAAGTACTATGATGATTCACATCTTAATTCATCACTCAGCTTGTGAGACACACTCCCAGGTCAAGTACTATGATGATTCACATCTTAATTCATCACTCAGCTTGTGAGACACACTCCCAGGTCAAGTACTATGATGATTTCACATCTTAATTCATCACTCAGCTTGTGGAGACACCTCCCAGGTCAAGTACTATGATTGATTCACAATCTTAATTCATCACTCAGCTTGTGAGACACACTCCAGGTCAAGTAACTATGATGATTCACATCTTAATTTCATCACTCAGCTTGTGAGACACACTCCCAGGTCAAGTACTATGATGATTCACATCTTAATTCATCACTCAGCTTGTGAGACACACTCCCAGGTCAAGTACTACAATGTTTCACATCTTAATTCATCACTCAGCTTGTGAGACACACTCCCAGGTCTAGTACTACAATGTTTCACATCTTGAATCATCACTTAGCTTATGAGAGAGTTAGTGTTCACTTATTTGTTACTTGAGGATAACAAAGAGCTGCTGTGTTGGTTCACAGCAATCTTAACAATTTCTTTTGCATTGATTAGGCTGTGCTAAGGCTCAAAGTAGGCCTAAAAATGTACCCTGTTAAGGGTAGATGGTCACTAAACCTGCTGTTGTTACTCAGTAAAACTCACCTCTCAGGATAATTACTTAGACTCCTGACAACACCCCACTTGCCCCTACCCTCTGCCAACCTGTCCCATCCACCCTGCCCCCTCCTCCCTACCCCAATATTCAAAAGTTTAAATTTATTAAAGGCAGAGAATATTCACACCTAGTGTGCACACAATGTCTACAAGACACTCAAGACAAACATTAAACCAGAGCTTAAATTCTACCTTGAGATCTGCAACACAACACAAATTCTACCTTGAGATCTGCAACACAACACAAATTCTACTTGATCTCAACCACACATTTCTACCTTGAGATCTGCAACACAACACAAATTCTACCTTGAGATCTGCAACACAACACAAATTCTACCTTGAGATCTGAAACACAACACAAATTCTACCTTGAGATCTGCAACACAACACAACACACAGACACAATACATGAAGCAAATATCTATCACACATTGCACATGTACGAGTCAACCTGTTTAAAAATTCCATGCAGATAAAAGGCCCAAAAATTTTGAACCAACTACCTGAAAATGCCAAAAGTTCCCTGCCTTCCAACATCTTTACTGATACAGGTACACCACTGATTTTCCAGCAGCGGATAGTCCAGCACCTACTTTAGTCCAGACAAAACTACCAGCGGGAACTTGAAATTACTGCGCCCACCAGACCATTTTACTGGGCAACTCATGTGTGGCATTGTGTGTAGCCACACTCACATGGATTGTTTACACTGTACTTGCTTGTGGTGATATCTTCGTGTTGGTGGTGATATCTTCATGTTGGTGGTGATATTTTCATGCTGGTGGTGATATCTTCATGTTGGTGGTGATACCTTCCTGCTAGTCAAGGGCTCTTCATCCAGGAAATGAAGCAGCCCTTCCTTTCCTTTGATCAAATCTGGTTACCGCCCAGTACCCAGGTGCTGCATGACTTTTACAGGGTTAGCGCTTCCCTTCAATAATAACAATAATACAGTACCCAGGTGCTGCATGACTTTTACAGGGTTAGCGCTTCCCTTCAATAATAACAATAATACCAATAATAATATGACTGCTTCCTATACATTTCACCACCATTCCTCTCTTATGTCCCTTATCAGATAACAGAATTTTATGAAAAAAGCTTTTATTGGTAGATCTTAGAAGTAAGACTTACCTGCTCTAACCTGCTGCACTGACTCCTACTTATTGATGATTCTTTCCACTATTATGAAAAATATTCTGAAAGACACTGAACATCTGGGCCTATATCAGAAACCAAGTACAGATTTCAAGATTTATTATGTGCTAAAGACATGTGGGTTACCCTGCACAAGGTCTGAGATACATATACCTCAGATTTATTAATACACCTGTGAGATACATGTATTACCATGTATTATCAGTGCTAACTTGTAACACTCTACAAAAAGGTGAGCAATACCTGAGGTACTGACAGACTTCTAACACTACAACAAGGTGAACAACACCTGAGGTACTGACAGACTTCTAACACTTTACAACAAGGTGAACAACACCTGAGGTACTGAGCAACACCTCAAGACATTGACAAACTTGTAGCACTATACAAGGTGAACAACACTTGGATGGCAACTCAAATATTCAGTTTGTGTTTCTGAATATTTGCAGAGTGAGTGTATTATACTACACATGCAAACATTATTTACATCAAGGTTGCTTGTAACATTACCCAAAACTAGTTTTGCAAGTATATTATTTCAATTATTGTGCTAAGAGTCAATGATTTTACATCCTTTAGTCAATAGTGGCAATAAAAGTGGCTTTTGTTCAGTGCACGTGCTATGAAATAATGATTAAGAATAACTAAACATTAATAATGTTAATGAATATTTCAATTAGCAAAAACAGGCATGTATTTAATCACAAAATATTACACATTAAAATCAAACAATTAATCACACTTAATAAAACAAAGTCAGGTCACACTTAACACAAATTTATACCTGCGCCTGTATGCTTGATCTCCTGCTGCGAATCCCAGAGTCTTTCCTGGGATCTTTTTCTGAAACGCTTCCCCAAGAGTTGTGAAGAACATCCCTGGGTGTTTGTGGAGTGATGGGCGTGTCAGGCGGAGAAGGTGCGTTGGGTGTAGGAGGAGGGGGGACTGGTGCCTGGGTGAGCATTGGGGGAGCAGTGTTGATGGTCGAGGTGAACATTGTGGGGCTGTTGAAATACCCTTCACTAACACCTGTCAGCCCACTGCCAATCCCACTCCATAAGTCACACCAGTCAAGTGACTGAGGAAGGTTTTGTATCTATAAGAGTTATCTCCATAGGCTGAAAATGGCTTACTGGGGAATAAAGGTCACAATGCCAGGGAATAAAGGTCACAATGCCATGGATGGTACAAGACATTATTGACCCATAATTCAGAGGAAACTTTAGTTCAAGGGTACTAAACCTTTTTACGATTACAAACCACCAATGAGTTGCCCAATATATGGCCATTTCCCTTTACCAGACTGTGTAAATCATCACTATAATCACCAGTCCTATTAGCTACCAGTATGAATTCAAAAGATATCAATAGCCTGGTTTGATTTTACATATGGATAGCTAGCAACAGAACAGTTGGAAGAAAATTATTAGGATTTTATCATTTATTTAGAGAAAAATAGCAAATTGTTCAGAGATGGAGTCCCATAAACCCCATTATTAGGTTCCCATACACTCAAGAGGTATGGATACCCCTGGTTTAGATCATATTCCGTTTGTCTTGCATGATTATGAACTAAGGACTGCCATTACTCAATAACAGTCCAGGATCGATCAAAACACTGTCCTCGTCAAATTGTGGGTTAACAGCAAACTATCTCGTTCTATTACAGTTACCATCTACCTTCTTATTTTGGCACCTCAAGTTCCATTTATAAACTGCTTATTAGCCTCTTATCAAACTCATGGAGAAAGCTCTACTCATAACTAGACGTTTCAACACTGTTCACACAAGAGACCACTGTGATATCTCTGGTCACACCAATGTTTACAGTCCTCAACTACCCCAAAAAGTTATCAACACATCTTTGTTCATTCTGTCGTGTCACTACAAGAGGGAAAAATGGCAAAAGAAAAATGGCCCACAATATGCCAATATTTAAAAAAGATAATAAAGGAGACCCTCTCAAGCACAGATCTATCTTGCTGACAAACAGCACTGATAAAAAAGACTGGATGGAACAATAAGAAGTGATAAAAGACTGGATAGAACAATAAGAAGTGATAAAAAAAGACTGAATGGAACATTAAGAAGTGATAAAAGAGACTGAATGGAACAATAAGAAGTGATATAAACAGGAACTGACAGTCCCCAGACAGCCCTCCGTGCAACAGGTTACTCCTGTGGTCTAAACTACACTTGCTGGAAATTTTAACATACACAATTATTTCAGTAATATATTCTTTGCCGATAAAAAATATTTAACGAAGACCGATCTTTATCTCGATTAAATATACGTATATTGGTAATGGTTTTTCCTACTGTTTATGTTTGTGTCATTGTAAAATTATAAAAATATTGCAAACACTATAATAATAGGTATCTATAATATTGTTTGTAGATAAATACAAGAATCGGCTCCATGTCTACACTGACAAAAATCTCAATTTACCTTTAATTTCAAATTTAACTTAAACCTTCCATTGTTAAACTCAAAAATGTTACGCTTAGTTGTGGTAGGCTCATAATGGTCAAAAATATAATGTTAAGTAAGTTGTTCTTGAATTAAAGTAGACAAAACAAAACAAGAAAAGCCACCATGACTAGTCTACTTGCTTGCAAGAAAAATGAAGCAATATGAAATTTTCACAAAAGAGTTAATTCAAATTTGTAGTTTCATCTATGATGACACTATTGGACAGTGTATAACTTTAGTTACTGTATTTGCATAGTGGGCAGGGCATGCTACCCCCAACACATGACATCATGCCCATGCACACCTCTTGCACGTTCTAAGCTAATTCATTATCACATTCTTGAAATACTGTCTGCACATATAACAGCTGCTTCCAAAGTTATTCTTATCAATAATGATATATAACTCAAAAAGATTTGGCATGAAAATTCAAGTGTACCAAACCTTCTGCATCATCATAATAATAATAATAATATCTCCATGGGGAAGTGGAACAGAATTCTTCCTCTGTAAGCCATGCGTGTCATAAGAGGCGACTAAAATGCCAGGAGCAAGGGGCTAGTAACCCCTTCTCCTGTATATATTATTAAATTTGAAAGGAGAAACTTTCGTTTTTCCTTTCGGGCCACTCCACCTTGGTGGGATACGGCTGGTACGTTGAAAAATAATAAATAATAATAATATAATAATAATATATTAAAGATTGAATATTCAGATTGGAGGGAGAGAGTATGGAGGAGTGAATGTTTCAAATTTGGAGTGGACGTTCAAGCGATGGTTCTATGAAAGATGATGTAAACATAGAATTTGATGAGGGAAAAAGAGTGGTGGTGCACTTAGGAGTCTGTGGAGACAAAGAACATTTGTCCTTAGCAAAGAGGGAATGTATGAAGAGTATAGTTTTAACCAACCTCTTATATGGTGTGAAGCGTGGGTGATGAATTTGCGCAGGAGAAGGCTGGAGGCAAGTGGAGATGTCAATTCTAGGACAATGTTGGTGTGAATATAATGCAGAGAATCGGAGTTTGGAAGTTAGGAAGAGTCGGGAGTTACCAAAACTGTTGTCCTGAGGCTGAGAAGGGTTGTTGAGGTGGTTCGGACATGTAAAGAGAATGGAGCGAAACAGAATGACTTCAAGAGTTGAATCAGTCTGTAGTCCTGAGTGAAGGCAGGTGGTAAAGGGTCGGCCTAGGAAGGTAGGAGGGAAAGGGGTAAAAGGAGGTATTTTAGCGAGGCCTTGGACTACCAGCAGGCATGCGTGAGCGTGTTTGATAGGAAGTGAAATGAAAGACAAATGGTTTTTTAATACTTACGTGCTTTAGGAGGTGAGCAAAGTAACATTTAGAAGGGATTCAGGCAAACGGCAGGCCGGACCCTTTAGTCCTGGAGTGGAAGTACTAGTGCCTGCACCTCCTGAAGGAGGTTGTTTAAAGGCAGTTATAAAAACTGTAAGTGTAAACTACCTTCTGCAAGACCCGTGATGGTTGAAGATGGGAACAGTTTTTCTTTCCATCGGCCACCCTGCCTTGGTGGGAACGGCCGGTGTATTACAATTAATAAAAGATATAAAACAAATAATAATAATAATGATAATTTTCTTAATGCACCTGGCATTTCCCACCTAGAAGAGTGGGATATGGCCGCTAAAGAAGTTACAAGCCTTTTGTCCTGGAAATTTAGTCGCCTCTACTACCTCGTGTTTACAGAGGATGAATTCAACAGTAAAATAATAACTAATATATTATCAATATTATCAAGAACAAATCTGTTTACAAACACGTACAAAAACACGTAGTAAAAACTTATCACAATTGTAATATGACATTTGTGTAATGATAGTGGTACTTTGTGAAGGCCATCTTAATACCTGGTAAGACAGAGAGGTAGTAATTCTCTCAAGTCATTTACCAGCCACTGACTCTCACTTAGCAATGTATAACCATTACTTGTCACACCTTGGGCATTAATACAATGAAACCTTGGTGTTCGAATGTACTAGACCTCAAACAAACTGGAGTCTCAACAATTTGTCAGAAAAAAATAAACCTGATGTTGTCTTTCAAGATATTTTCTGAGTTACACACACACTGACCTGTTTAAATTTCAGTTGTAAACTTTACAGGAAAACCATGTTCAAAAGTGCTTTAAAGTGACCTCTGACACTAACCTAACTCTCAGAGACTTAGAAGAATCAGCTCACCATCCTCCAGTGCATGAGGCTGATAAAGCCTGGCAAATACTGTTTTGGACATCAAACTTTTCACTGTTCCAAAACCGCCGAGGTACCTAGTAAATTCAAACACAGAGGTTCCACTGTATTACTACATACATATTTTTTAACACACTGGCCGTCTCCTACCGAGACACGGTAAATGAAAAAGAAACACTTTCACCATTATTCAATCCATCACTGTCTTACCAAAGGCACATAGATACTACAGTTCAGATGTTACGCCAAACAGCAGATTTTCCCACCTTTCCTTCGTAGTGGAGGTACTGTACTTCCCACCATAACCACCACCCCTCCTTCACAGTGGAGGTACTGTACTTCCCACCACCACCCTTCCTTCATAGTGGAGGTACTGTACTTCCCACCACCACCCCTCCTTCATAGTGGAGGTACTGTACTTCCCACCACCACCCCTCCTTCATAGTGGAGGTACTGTACTTCCCACCACCACCCCTCCTTCACAGTGGAGGTACTGTACTTCCCACCACCACCCTCCTTCATAGTGGAGGTACTGTACTTCCCACCACCACCCCTCCTTCATAGTGGAGGTACTGTACTTCCCACCACCACCCCTCCTTCATAGTGGAGGCATTGTACTTCCCACCATCACCACCACCCCTCCTTCATAGTGGAGGCACTGTACTTCCCACCATCACCAGCACCCATTCTTCGTAGTGGAGGTACTGTACATCCCACCACAACCACCACCCCTCCTTCATAGTGGAGGTACTGTACATCCCACCACAACCACCACCCCTCCTTCATAGTGGAGGTACTGTACTTCCCCCACCACCACCCCTCCTTCATAGTGGAGGCACTGTACTTCCCACCATCACCACCATCCCTCCTTCGTAGTGGAGATACTGTACTTCCCACCACCACCACCACTCCTCCTTCATAGTGGAGGTACTGTACTTCCCACCACCATCACCACTCCTCCTTCGTAGTGGAGATACTGTACTTCCCACCACCACCACCACCCTCCTTCATAGTGGAGGTACTGTACATCCCACCACCACCACCACCCCTCCTTCATAGTGGAGGTACTGTACTTCCCACCACCACACCACCCCTCCTTCATAGTGGAGGTACTGTACATCCCACCACCACCACCACCATCCCTCCTTCATAGTGGAGGTACTGTACTTCCCACCACCACCACCACCACCCCTCCTTCATAGTGGAGGTACTGTACATCCCACCACCATCACCACCATCCCTCCTTCATAGTGGAGGTACTGTACTTCCCACCACCACCACCACCCTCCTTCATAGTGCAGGTACTGTACTTCCCACCACCACCACCACCACCACCACTCCTCCTCCATAGTGCAGGTACTGTACTTCCCACCACCACCACCCCTCCTTCATAGTG